GCTTGAGCCACCAAATCAATCCACCAAAAGTGAGAACTTCAAGCTTGAATCAAGCACTAGATTGGAGGAAAATTTCTCACTAACTCAAACTCTTCTCTTTTGATTTTTGCTCAAGTTTAAGCTAGGGTTAGAAATCAAGATGTTGGAGCTCTCTCTCTCTCTTCCTTGCTAAGCCCTAAGAAATTCGGCCATAAGGAGAAGAAAATGGCCAAGTCCAACTTAAATTTGTCTCTTAACCCTTAATCAACAAAATGCTTGGCTAGGATTTTGCCACACGGTCACTTCTTGTCCACAACTTCTATTAATCCTTTGACTAATTATGTTTCAACCCTTCCAAATGTACCAATACCTATTTAACACCACTAATATCTCACATAAAGTCCCTACCACAAATAAAAACCACTTGGTACAATGTAAGTGGTGAAAGATGAAACTAACTCAACAAAATTGTTTTAGTTGAAGTGAAAGGATATGAAATGTAATGCATGGAAATTGTTTTAATACATGTAGAATGCTATGCAAGGGCATATTATAAGTGGTGAAATAGTTAAAACTAACTCAAGAAAAATGTTTTAAATTTCTTAGAGTATACGATAACACATAGGGGATACAATGCTAGGGCTTATAATCCGTGGTTTCATTCTTAGAATAAGGCATGAAGTGAGGGTTCTCACACGTGAACACTAGAGGCACTACTTTTGGTGAGTGCTTCCAAATATCTGATTAAACTTGATATTTGTGATTTATCTTTGACCAACGTGATTACGTGATATATATATGTGATTTGATAGGGCAAGGGTGTACCTTATCGCACTTGCCCTATCCAAATTTGTTCTTGCTTATCGATTTCACTGGACTTGCTCTACATGCATATGAATTATATCTTGCCTGGAATTCCAGAAAACCTGTGGCTAGTTAATCAAGTCGAGTCGGCAAGGGCCTGGTCGATTAGATAACGAACCCTGGGTAACTAGTAATGTCAAGTGGAATGTTATCTCCTCGACTAATCCGTATACTCGAGTATTACCACCCGTGTTTCGTGTGGCGTGCGGGCCCGGAAAAGGGGGCTGATCGGTGGACGGAGACTGGCGTGAAGTGGGGTATTATTTCTGGACTAGTTATTACTTGAAATTTGATGGAGTGTCAACTACTAATCGATCAAGCTGGGATGGAGCTGAGACATGAGCCACTGTATCCTTACATGTGAATATGACCCATATATTTCTTGACTATCTGAAGTATTATCTCTCTGATTGGACTTGTTTGCTCGCTATTTCATTATCACACTGTATTACTTTGTTTGATGGCCAATTTGATATTTGGAACTTCACTGAGCTTTGGCTCATTCCGTTAGTTTTGTTTTCCTTACAGGGGTACGAGCGAGGCGTGAGACATGTAAAGATTAGCGTAGTCTAGTTGTTTGGACTTTTGGGCTTGTACTCGCGCTATTCCTCGAATAGAATGTTTTGTATTTGAATTGTATACACTTTGAACCAGTTTTGGTATATGGAGGCTTTGTACCTTGAATTTACATCAATATAAATTATAAGCTTGAATTGCGATGTTATTTATGGTCCATGGATGTATGCACGTGATACGAGTGAGTGAGTCCTGGCGAGAGCTGGGCAGGCGGTCCACCAAACCCTTTGGTATGCCTTAGGGGGAGGTGGGGTCATCACAGGTGGTATCAGAGCCTAGGTTGTGAATTGATCTGGATAGATTGAGTGCTTGATACGATAGGCTAGGGTTTTATTTTTGAGCTTAGCCTTTAGCCTTGGTTTCTACGTCTCGTGTACTTACTTTTGCAATGTTACTTGCAAACATAGGTGATGGCGGGTACTGACGCCTTTGGGAGTGCTGGGCCGTCTCAGCCCGTGCCTACTGACGCTCCTACTGATGAGCCACATCTGGAGGGGCCCGTTTGTCGCGTGATCACGTAGCAGGAGAGCCCCGGTGGGGCAGTGCAGCGGTGGTCCCCAGTGCGCAACATCCGCCGCTGCGACTGCTGGAAGACCTACTACTACCCTGATCGAGTAGTGCTTGCCTTGGACGACGAGCGGAGACGATTGGGTAGCGCCAATCGTATGTGCCAGACGGAGATTGAGCGTCTCCAGACTACTCTCCGAGTCCAGGCAGCTAGGATCCGAGAGGTGGAGGCCTCGATTTTGGAGGAGCAGCAGCGGACCGATGCTTTCCGCAAGCAGGTTCAGGCGACGACTGGATGTCTTATGCGAGTGGTTGAGGACATACGAGACCGGACCGGCCATATCCTGACCGAGTGTGAGGCACTTGTAGAGGATGTGATACAGGACTTGGCCAAGGAGGGTCGAGCGCCTGTAGCCCCTGAGGTTCCTGGTGCTCCTGAGGAGGATCCGGATGAGGATCCTGAGGAGGACCCAGAGGAGAAACCGAGTGCATCCTCGGAGTCGGTTGGGTCGGCGTCTAGCCGGGCGACTTTTTAGGATTGAGGTTGAGGAGATTTTTGTGGGATAGTTAAGAACATAGTAGGACGACACGTTTCCTTTTGTTTTTGATTTTGACGTGTCATGGTGGATGTACATAGGGTTTCTTTTGTTCTATGTTCCTTGGCTAGTATAGCCTTTGACTTGCCTTGATTGGCATCTATATGTGACTTGTTTGCTATGTATATAAAGTACCTGTTTATTATGTGCTCTATTGTCTCTATTTATTCTTTTGTAACGTGTTATACGAGCCATACCTTACTTTGTTATATGTTTATAGTTGGTTAAATCCAAAACATGGAGGGTAGAAGAAGTCAAACCAAGGGAACTAACCGAGGACGCGGTCCTAGTCGGGGCCGTGGGGGTAGACAAGCGCAGGAACCGGTGCAAGAACTGAGGGAGGAGAGAGAGGCATCGATTGAGCCACATCCTGAACCCCAGGCTGCAGGGGAAGATCAAGTGGCAACCGCCATCCAGTAAATGACCAATATTCTGGCCCGTTTAGTAGAACAACAGGGTCAAGCTCCTGTAAATCAACCTAGGGATCCCAATAATGGGCAAGATAGGGCCTTAGAGAGATTCCAGAAGTTCTCTCCACCCAAGTTCTTAGGAGGACCAGACCCGAAGGGAGCCGATAAATGGTTAGAGGCCATGATCAATATTTTTGCTGCTTTAAACTATACAGAGGAGAGGCAAGTGCAGTTCGCTGTTTTCCAGTTTGAAGGTCCAGCCAGGGCTTGGTGGAATGTAATTAGGGCCAAGTGGGAGAAAGAAGGAACTGCATGGACCTGGTTAAACTTTGTACGGGAGTTTAATGAGAAATACCTTCCACCTATTGTCCAAGAGAAGCGAGAGGACGATTTTATTAAGCTTCGACAGGGAGCTTTTAGTGTAGCTGAGTATGAGACTCAGTTTATGAAACTGTCAAAATTTGCTCCTGAGCTGATCGCTACGGAGCAAAGAAGAGTACAGAGATTTGTACAAGGGCTTAACGTGGAGATACAAGAGGCCTTGGCGGCAGCTCAGATTAATACATTTACGGAGGTTTTGGAGAATACTTTAACAATAGAGACTGCCAGGAAACAAGTGAGAAATTTCCATGCCAAACGGAAAGAGGGACCTAGTGGAGCCCAAGGGTCAGTGCGGAGTGATCGAAACACGCCACCTGCCAAGTCTGGTCGTGGGGCTGGAGGTGGACGGTTTTCAAGTGCACCTAGGGGAGGTGCTCAGGGAGGAAGTGCCCAGAGGGGAGGCCAAAGTGGTAGGAGGCAAGGTAGAGGAATTCCACAGGGAAGCCAGACCTTCACTCCCCGAATAACATACGGATATTGTGGGAAACCGAACCATACTGAGGATGAGTGTTGGAGAAAGGCTCGGAAGTGCCTAAGGTGTGGAAGTACGGAGCACCAGATAGTCAACTGCCCGTTGATCAGTGACACTCAGTCGACTGCCAGGTCAAACCTAAAGCCGACCAACGTCGGAGGGATCGGGTCGAGGGTACCGACCAGAGTGTATTCGCTGGACCAACAATCCGTACCTGAACCAATGGAGGTAGTGGAAAGTACGATCCCTGTTTTTTACCGGTTAGCCAAAATTTTGATAGATCCCGGTGCTACTCATTCTTTTGTTAACCCTACATTTATGCTTGGAATTGACATGAAAGTTGAAAGGCTACCTTATGACTTAGAAGTAAGGACACCTACAGGTAATCAAGTTTTACTTGCGAATGAGGTGTATAGAAATTGCAATATTTGGGTTGGTGAACGGAAATTGGTAGTTGACCTCATTAGTCTAGCCATTAAGGGGTACGATGTCATTCTAGGTATGGATTGGCTAGCTCATTACCATGCTCGGGTAGATTGTAGGATGAAGGCAGTAGAGTTTTGCATACCAGGTGAGGCAACTTTGAAGTTAGACGTGACGGGTATGTTAGCCTCATCTGCGCTCATTTTGGGAATAAGGGCTAGGAAATTGCTTAGTCATGGGGCACGCGGTTACCTAGCTTTTCTAATTAACACTTTGGGAGAAAAGATGAAGTTGGAAGACATGCCAGTAATCAGTGAATACCCAGACGTATTTTCGGAGGAGTTGGGGTCATTGCCACCTGAAAGGGAGATTGAATTTAAGGTTGATCTAGTACTCGAAACTACTCCCATGTCTAAAACCCCTTATCGAATGGCACCTGCTGAGCTTAAGGAGTTAAAGGTGCAATTGCAAGACTTGCTAGAACGGCGATTCATACATGAGAGCGAGTCGCCGTGGGGAGCTCCAGTGCTATTTGTTAAAAAGAAGGATGGGAGTTTAAGGTTGTGTATTGACTATCGAGGATTGAATGTAGTAACTGTTAAGAATAAATATCCTTTGCCTCACATTGATGAGTTGTTTGATCAGTTACAAGGGGCTGTGGTGTTTTCAAAATTGGATCTTCGACAGGGGTACTATCAATTGAGAATCAGAAAGGAGGATGTACACCCTGGCAGGAACTTTCGGCCTACTTCCTCCAGAAGTGGCTTGTCTAGCACTCAGGGTACCCCCTTCTTATGTTTTCGGACAACCGGCAATCTGGTGCTCGCTACTTCCGCACCTCAAGCACTTTCCTTCTTTCCTCCAGCACCCGTCCTCGGTATGGCTAGCTTTCCTGCAATACCCACAAGCTACCTGAGGGTTTGTCACACGACCTCCTTGCGAGGCGTTCCTAGGTTGACCCCTTCCGCTTGGTCCTCCTCTAACTCCGGTATCTCTCCCTCCGGCACCTCTTGCCCCAGCTCCTCTCGCTAGAGCGCCTCGTGGTGCTCCATGACTATTTACTCCACCCGTTCCTCGACCCACTTTGGCCGGTGGAGCACTTGCATGAGTCGGCTCCCGACTGCTGCTAGGGGCAAATCTTTTCTTGGCCTGGAAAGATTTTACCTGAGCTCTGGCAACTTCAACCCTTTGAGCTCTCTCTACAGCATCAGCAAAGGTGTCTATCCGAGCAGCAGCTAATCCTTCTTGGATCTCCACGTTTAGTCCCTGCACAAACCTCCTTATACGCCTTTGCTCCGTGGCTACCAATTCAGGAGCAAAACGGGACAATTTCGTGAATTGAATCTCATATTCGGCGACACTCACCGCCCCCTGCCTACACTTGATGAAGTCATCCTCTCTTTTCTCTTGGATGAGAGGGGGAAGAAACTTGGCATTGAACTCCCTTGTGAAGTTCGCCCAGGTCCTAGGGATATGGTTCCTATCCCAATTAACCCTAACTAGGTTCCACCAGGAACGAGCAGCTCCCTCAAACTGGAACGCTGCGAAAGTCACTTGTCTCTCCTCCGCATAATTTAGAGCTGCCAAAATGTTAGAGATCCTCTCCCACCAACCTTCTACTACCTCAGGTTCTGGTCCTCCATAAAACTTGGGAGGTCCAAACTTCAAGAATCTCTCTAATGCCCGATCCTCAATATCGATTGGGCCTCCTTGGTGATGCACCGGTCCAAGGGCTTGGTGCTCAGTCATGCGCTCTAAGACATCAGTTATTCTATTGATCGCGGTTGCCACTTAGTCTCCGGCCACACCCTCTTGACCATGGTCTTGATTGACCTCAGGTTCCTTATCACCACCAACCTCGGGGTGTTGTCTAGTTGGTCTCCCACGTCCTCTACCTCTAACTTGTCAATCCATAGCCTATTCAACCTTTTACCAATTACTAAATAAAACCAAAATTGACCAAATATCTTCCATTTTTTCTTCAAGCTTGGCCGAATTTCTCTCTAGGAAAGGAAGAAAGAAAACCTCTTCAACTTCTTGATTCTCTCTTGCTCAAATCCAAGAATTCAACCATCTAAACTTGTTTTTGTTCCATAGAAACACTTAAGGGAGTGATAGTGAGTTGTTTTGTGGAGTTATTTGGAAAGCTAAGAGGACCAATAGCTCTCTCTCTTTTTTTTTTTAAGGTAAGTTGTGAAGAACCACCCTCCTCCTTTAATTGATGCTTAAATCATGCTTAGTGGTAGTATAAGATGCAAGTTTATGGATTAATTCTTGATTTGAGGTTGAAATGATGAAGTTTTATTATTTTTGGGGATTTTTCTGTTTTCATATAAGCATGATTGTGTGGCTATATATGATGATTGGAAATGGTATATAATGATTCTAGAAGGTGGAAAAAGTGGAAGATTGCAAGTAATTTCTGTTTTGGAAGAAAATTGAAAAACCTAGGGTTCATGAAGGAACATTCTGCCCGAATTTATAGCTCCTAGTTAGAGGCCGAATTGGCCTTGGATTAAAACATGAAAGTTGTAGGGAATGACATTATAGAGGTGCCTAAAAAATTTCAGGTCAATCGGAGTAGTGTAGAATGAGATAAGTCGAAATTACTATTGCTGTTTTGGTTTTACCCGAATGTGAGAATTGCGCCTGTAATTGGTTGTTTTGGCTGGAATTTCTTCCGAATTGGATGTTGAGGCCTTCTGATGAAATTTAGCCCTGTTTCTTAGCTTTCAGATGGTTTTCGAATTTCTGGATTTGGACTTGGAGAGCCTGAGTTATGATGTTTCCGCTATAATGCGTTTTGGTGAATCTGTTTTACGTTTTTGATGTAGTATCTTGCATTTTTGACCTGTTTGCACTCAAAACTGGGTTGAGTGACCTTCTGTGATGTTGTAGCCCTGACGTTTAGCTTCAACATGGTGGGTCTTGCACCCTCATCCGATAATCGTAGTGAAATTAGTGCCATTACCGCAAAATGAGGACAAAAACTGTTTTTTTTCAGGGCCAAAGCTAATTGTATTTCTGAATTTTCTGGTTTCCTTTAATGTTTTTGTATGCTTAGGGAACCCTGTTTTGGTAGTATATAGAATTGGTTCATTTGAATAGTTTAGGGCTTGACTTTCATATCCGGTTATTTCCTACCTAAATTTTGTACTTGAATGCCATTAAGCCAAGTGAACGGCTTTTGGGAATGAGATTATTTTTGTACGAGATGTTGGGACTGATTTGAGGACATAATGAAGCCATGATGGCTGGAAAATAGGTAAAAACAAGGGATATGCTGCCGAAATTTTTCTTGAAGGCTAGTTGGATTTACTTGTAATTTGAACGAAGGGCTTTTGGGTTGTTTGAGCCTAGGTCTTCATGTTACCTTTTCGTTACCAAAAATCGTGTTTTGCACCTTGCTTTAGTAATTATTTGGCGAGGCATACGACTGGTAGTCGAGCCTCACATGTGCATTCTGTATACTCAATTTTGAAAGTGGAACCTTCAATTGTTTTCCTTGGATTATTTTAGGGTTTATTGGTGATTAAAGCTCTCTTTTGGGAGGTATCTGCACTGACCCTGGTGAGTGTACTACTCACTTGTGTGTTACTATATGGCTATGAATGTAAATTGCTTGAAGTGAATTGAATGTGACTTGATTGAAGTGAATGTGTACTTTATCACTCTCACTTATATGCCTTATATCATTGTTGTCATGTTATTGGAATGTTACATGAAATGTTACATGAAATGAAAGTACTTGACTTGGTGCCGATCGGACGAGTATCCAATGACTACAAATGTTATCATTGAGCTCAACCCCATTGGTAGTTGATTGAATCGAGCCGGCAAGGGCTTGGTCGTGACAATTAATGAGCCTTGGGTAAATTTATAAGGAATCTTGTAGTATGAGAGACTCTCGATTCCGGTATACTCGAGTAATACCACAGTGCAAGTGTTTGGAGTGCGGGCCCGGTATGGGGATGTTAGGTGGAAGGAATGGGAGAGAAGTGGAGTCTACGGTTGGTTTCTTTTGAACATTGACGGAGAGTCAATGACGTCCGATCAAGAAATGCAAACGAGGAAATGGCTCTTGAGAGCCATCTGTATCCTTTTATCACCATATTTGAAGTGTGCCTTTGCTTATTTTTACTATATTGAATGAAAGCTTGATGCTTATATGCACTTGGGTGCGTAAGGTGATAGTATCTCACTGGGCAATTAGCTCACACCGTTCCTTTTGTTTTCCTTACAGGAATATGACTCTTTTGGAATGAATCTTGATAGATGGTTGCCGAATGAACTAGATGTATATTTCTTTTGTATTGTATATGAAGTGAAACCCTAAATGTATCCTTAGGGCCGATTTCACTTTCAATTTGGCAAACCGTGTATATATTCACTTTTGAAAACTTTTGTATGTCACTTTGGATTGTAATTGCTAAAGTTCAAGATGTGAAGGTTTACTTGATATTTGGTTGGGTTCTGACGGGGCGGTTACTATTCATGGCCGACTCCGAATTTCATTTTTTTTATTATTTTGGGTTATTTTGCCCTTTTGCCTTGTTTACGCCCGTTATAAGTTCCAGAACGATATAGATCGCTCTAAATTGCACCGGTAGTCCTGGCGAGAGCTGGGCAGGCAGTCCGCTAACCCCTTTGGTTCGCCTTAGGGAAGGTGGGGCTGTCACAGATTAAAGTTAGTTATGCTAGTGTTTGTTTTAGTGCGGGTAAGTATAGGATTCACTACAAGAAAAAAGATCATTAGTGACAACATTTCTTTGTGACGACAAAAAGTCGTCACAAAATGAGGTTGTTTAGTCACGACTTTGAAGGTTGTCACAATTGACTCAAAGCAACTGAGTTTTTAGTGACAACCTTTAATTGTCATCACAAAACTACTTCGCGCCATGGGACTTGGAAGGCGCGAGATTTGCGATAGTGACGACTTGATAAATGTTGCCAGTAATTCTACCGCTTTCTTTGACAACATTTCATTGTTGTCACTGTTTATGTTTACTGACGACCAATATTTGTCAGTAAAACTATAGCATAGTTAGTGACAACATAAGTATCATCACTAACTTGAACATCTCTAATGCATTTATTTAATTGTGAGCCTTAATATTAATTTAATTTTTTAAAAATTTGATGATTTATTAAACTAGTCATAGTTACTCAATAGGTTTTTAACTGAAAAAAATTAATGAAAGTTTCTAGTTAGAACAACTATATAAACTATTACAACTTGAGAAAGAGTATATTTACCAGTTCTTTGAATTAGCAAAAAATTTTCATCATTATAATTTTTTGATAAATATGTTAAGAAGTAGTGATTAGAAATACATTAGTAAATTTAAATAAAATTTGAAGCTAAAAATTCACTTGTAATATTAATATCGGATCAACTGTTTGATGTCATAAAAAAATTAACTATTTGAAGCAGAACCAAGTGCATTTACCACTTGTAATATTTCAACATAATTTTCTCATCCATTATGAATATTTTCACAAAAATATTTAAAAGTAGCAAGTAATATTATATTAGTAAAATATTAATTCAACTAAAATGTTGGAAACTAAAAAACGTTGATTGAAATTTTGGTACTGAACAAGTAAGGGGGAAATATAAGGAATTGAAATTTCATTCAAAGTCAATATTTTGAGGAGAGGCGCGGAAACACTTAGAACACTTAGAACCAAATAGCCAACACTACCAGTATCCTAAAGCCAACACTACCAGTATCAGAACAAAACACCAGCAGTATCCTAAAGCCAACAGCCAACACTTAGAACCAACCGTAGCACACTGCTCCTTATCTCTGCCGAAACATCTCCTGGCCATCTCCTAATTGATCTTGGCTCGGAAATGATCAAATAGAAGACCACATTTAGTAGCAACTCTATACCAAAAAGGTATGCCGATTCTCGGCGGAAGAAATCAGAAAATGAAGGAGGGGCGGACAAGGATTAGCAAAGAGAAAAACTATCGGGCAAGCCAACGGAAAAGAGAGGGAGCTTCGGCTGAGGAAAGAATAGCTACGAAAAGAGGAAAAACAGAGGGAAGGAAAAGGAGAGCGGCGGAAAAAAAAAGCAAAAGGAGAGAGTTGAAGTCAGAGAGAGGTAGACTAAGAGAAGAAAGGAAAACAGAGAGGAAACTATGGCAGAAATAGAGCAAAAGTAAACCCCAGAAACCCTAGTCGACGGTGAGGTGAAGGAATCGTCCACTCAAGACATGAAAATAGTCGAAGCCCAAGCTGATGATGTGGCGATTGGCGGTGCCGGCAGTTTAAAGCGCGTCAGAGATGAAGCTGACGAGGAGGGAGAGAACAACGAAGATGTCAAGAAGTTGAAGGCTGATGATAAGCACGTAGAAGAGGAGAGAGGTAGTTCAACGGCTTGATTGATGTCTACCCCAGCGGTCCTCATTGGATGCTTGCCTTGGAGAATTTTGCTTTGGCGAGACCGTGAGAGTAATTTCTTCGTTTATAGTTCAGTCTTCCTTCGTGTTTTACATGCCCGTGAATATATGTGTTTTATATGATGCTGGGATTGAAACCATTTTGTTCTGATGAATTTTGGGGCTAGATATAATATCACTTGAACAAAGAATCATTGAAATTTTTAATGCCCATGACCTGTTTGATAAAAAGCCCGAACGAAAGTTTTGAACCAAAAGAGGGGATTTTGTGCTTTTTATTGAATAGGGACTCTGGCCAGTCCAAAGTTAGGCAGAATCCGTGCATTTGCTAGTCAGGAAG